CTTGTTTATTTATTTTACTCTAGTTTTTCTTTTGCGATTTATACACTAGAAAATCGACCGGTCACACTGAAGTCTAACATCTGACTGTTAATGGATAAAGCGCGACAAGAACTGCACTCAGCGAGTGCCTGACTCCGACTGACTTCAGCTCAGAATTCTATCCTCTGACTTTAATTTTTGAAACGCAGACAGACTTCTCCTTTTCATTTCATTTCCCTCTTCTTCTTCCTGTTGCTCTCTCTCTATAACGGCTTGCCGTTACTCTCACAAGAGCAAGCATAGATCCCGCAAAATCATACGATTTTGCCTATGCTTGCAAGAGCAAAAGGAAAAAAGGAGTACCGCAAAATCATACGATTTTGCCTGTACTTGCAAAAGCAAGCAAGGGTACCGCAAAATCATACGATTTTGACTGTACTTGCAAAAGCAAGCAATGGTACCGCAAAATCATACGATTTTGACTGTACTTGCGAATAAGGAGATTAGAAAAGAAAAAAGAAAATAAAATAATAAACACATATACCGCAAGATCATGCGATTTACTAGCGGTACCACAAAATTGCATGATTTTGTCTAACGGCATGCCGTTATTGCTCCGCTTGCGGTTGACACAGACCGACAGACACCCTACCCAAGGTTTGTTCGCGGCCGTTACAAGCTTTAAAACAAAAAATTAATTTAATATTCAAAAGTTAATGTAATTTAAACGGACAGTGCCATGACTATTAATACTGCAATGACAAAGAAATTGTAAAAATTAACAAAATTGAATATTTTATGATCTTAATCCATTTTTATTATAAAAAATGACAAATGATCCGTAGAATAGACCTGTGGGACCCATGCTTGCTGCTTTATGTCAATTATCATAATATAAGTATTATCATAAACGGATTTTCATCAAAAATTGCTGAAAATTACACATTTTTGCCACATCAGCTTATGTAAGAACAGTGGTATTGGGGTTCGAAAAGTTGAGCCATGGGGTTCAAACTTTTCACATCAATTTAGAATGCCCTGCTACTACTACGATGATTCTAACTCGCTCGATATGTCTATCCTAACTTCTCCTAGATGGCACATACGTCTATACAAACTAAGCGTAACCCATACCACAAGTCGTATAAATGAATTAACGGAAACATTCTTCAAAAGATCAACATAACTACTGGCTATCTTTACAAAATATTCAAAATATAAAATGTTGTTTCGTTTATCTTTTCTTTGCTTTTCAAAAAAAGCAACACATTTCAAATTTATCGAAAGAAGAGAGGGCAGAATTTTCTTTTATATGTTTCAATATATTTTCGTAAAGATTTTTTCCGTTTAGAGATTGCTATAAGCAATAATTTTTCCCAGTAAAAATTTATAGTCCTAAAAAATAAGAAACGAATCGCGTCATTTTCAAAAGATTTTTAACATAAAACGAACCACACTCCAAAACTATAGTCACATATAACGAAAACATCTCGACTCGAATTCTGTAACCTCAAAGCCGAAACGAGAATAAGCATCAAAAACAGCGTCACTTATACCTAACAATGGCATATTCTACTCAAAAGGATTTTTTTCATGTACCGTTCATGGATGAACACTTGGAATTCGCGTGCCGCCCGGACTGTGTAAAACTGAAGCGTTATAACTCAATTATAGCTGACAGCGCTTGGGCTCTGGATGACAAAAAGCAATCTAAATATTTGTATGATTTAGTGCTTTGCGAAACGCCGGTGAGAGCGAACGCAGTAAATTTTAAATTGAAAATTTTTTAACTGAAAATTTTACTTTTAAAATCGGGGTTTAGGGGCTACTGAAGACATGTTCCAAAGCAGATATGGGAATGTCCCGAGTAGCATCTGGTGCCGGAGACGAGGTAGATTTTTAGATTGTTTTTAACTCTTGTTTCAAATTTTTGAAATGAATGCCCGTTGCTTAGCAGGGCTTGCTAACACAGTTGAGCTCTATTAGTGCTGGGGACAGTCTGCTTCAATGCGCCAACACCCATTTAGCGGAATATCAAAAATTGCTTAACGTTAAAACTTCGTTAGAAAACGAACTGAATGTTTCTAATGAACGTCTCAAATCGGCTACGCAAGAGAACAAGAAAATCAAGGAAATATTAACTACCAAGTTGGATGCAAACACTTGTAAAGATTTCTATAACAAGGTGAGAGAGCTGGTGTCTTCCGGAAAATTAAACAAAAACGAAGAGAACGAAATGTTACAAATACATAAAAAGATTGAAAATATGCTGAAAGCCTACGAGATATTGCGAGCTGAAAATAACTACATTAAGCGTCTAGTAGAGAAATTGGCGAATCGTTGCTCTTTGGAAAAAATAAAAACTGAACCAGAGCAAAGTAAAGATGTAGACTATCTACAAAAAGAAGTCGACAAATTACGTAAAGAATGCATTATGCTCAGAGATATGGAAGACGGCTACCAGAAAATAAAACAAGAAATGCAAGATAAGTATTGTTCCCAGAAGCGTTTGTCAGATCGAGATGCGGAGAATATAAAAGCTATCATCAGCGATCGTAATAATCTACGTGACAAGTGCAAGTCGTTTAATCAAAGGGTCGGCGATATGCAGAAGAAGGAGAGAAACTTAAACAAAGATTTGGAAAACAAAGCCAAGTCTTGTGCTAATTTGGAAGCGGAGATGCAAAAAATGCAAAAATACTACGAGGACCAAATGCAGCAGGCCTGCTTTAGGGAAGAATGCTTAAAGGTAAGAATTTCGAAAGGCATTTTAGTGAATTAAAGCAAGGAGAGCAAGATTTTAAACCCTGTCTAATAATTTCGACCTCTATATATTTTGTTTCACAAAATTGACTTCGCGAGTAGCATAAAGCAATAGTTAAATAGATATGCAAATATAAAGTGTGATTAGTTGAAAAGTTTTCATTTTAAGCATTATTGCTGAAATTTTATTGTTTTTCTTGAAATTCGTTTTTTTTTTTTTATTAGAAGGATCGAATTGGACTATTTTATATTATTTCTACTTCTTTCGTCAATCGATAATTTGATTTATGACCATGTGCCTATCTAAATTCATACAAAACTTCTTGCGTCCCTTTTCTTTAATACTTCTTATGCTCGCCGTTTCCCTTCCATTTTTTCATGATTTCATATTTTTCAGGCCCAATTAGAGGATTTGAAGGAGGACTTCATGCAAGTTAAATGCCAAGCTCAAAAATCTGATATGTTACAAATGGAAGTATCCTGCCTACGTAACGAAATACTTAAGCGTGATATGGCTTTAAGTGATTACGACTGCCAATATAAACAACTTATGGTAAGTAATGCAATCCTTGTACATTTTAGTTAGTGCACTTAAATAATAAGTTACTGTTATATATAATATTAAATGAACATACACGTAAAGTATAAAGCAAAACGTTTTAAAAGCGCTGGTTATCGTATACTGCCACCAGCCGAACCACGTGAAAATACGATGTACGCGGAGCTTTTCCCAGAAAGTTTAACAGAAGGTTAACCAAAGGACTTGTCCTTACGGTATGTGTACATTCGTTTGTAGAAGAGGGAACGCGATTTTAATATTTTTTTCCTGAAATTATATTGTTACACTAACTTTTTGTATTTTGTGAAAAGAAATATCTTACAAATTTGGAAGTAAAAAAATTCCAAAAAGTTTCTTGAATAAATTACATTAAATACAAGTTTCAATCCATACGTAAATTGGCTGTCAAAGTATTTAACGTGTTGAATGCTTTGATAACAATGAAGCTGACAAAAATAATAAGCTTAAATTAATTTATAAAAATAAGGCTTTTGAAGTCGTGATGCAATGGGAAAGGGATGGTAAAGCATAATATTTGGGCAACGTTAAATGTCTTCAACATTTGTTGCTGTATTTTGTATAAAGTAATTCGTAAAAATTTCAAACTGATCAAGGCGGTGGTACGCGATAGTGTAGTTACATAACGTTCAAACCCAGAAAATAGCGAATATCAATGTTTGATATGAAAAAAGGTGGCATAAAGCTTATGTATGGGAACCTGTTATTCTTGCTTATATTCTTTCTTGCTTTGAAACATAAGAAACCCATTTGAAAAATAGAATACCTCGTTAACGAGCTTTAAAAAAGAGAAATTAGAAGTGAAAATCATTTGAAAACATTTAGAAGCAGAATGCTAAGCTAGAGCAAGTAATACTAATTTCAAAACTAAATGTTTACAATAAAAATAACCTAAGAAGAAAAACTCTTCACATATATTGGATGGAATACAAAAGCAAAAACTGCAAAGGTAAAACAAAGAAAGCTGTTGTCTCAAGAAGCGAACGACCGAAATTCACGATCTGTTTGGAAAAAATGAAATTTGGTAGAGAAATAAAAACTCTCGCAGAAATAATGATAACGAAGAGATGAAATGATCAACAGAACACTTTCATTCACTTGCCTGACATCAAAAACATTCCCCGTCAGTTAACTGCTCCCAGCATTCAAACAAAACCCAGTTAACGGACAAGATCGTTACATTTAGGGGAGTTGAAAGTTCTGCAAGAGCAATTAATAATGATGATGGCTAAGGCATTTCAAATAGTTCTGTTTCTGTTGGTGTCATTCAATAAATTGTCATTCATTTGTAATTTAGTAATTTGTACTGTATTAGTTATAGTTACGACCAACTTAGTAGGCATCGCTCCATTACCCGCAGGCAATTAGAGAGTCGAATGACTGACATTTTCCCGCATTGTTTGGTAGATATGGTTTGAAATAAATATATGTTATATAGATCCTTTAAGTCATATTTTCAATTCTCAAGTTGAAATGAAGTTGAAAACCAAGAAAAAGTCGCCACATTGATGTTGCAAGTGAGTTATGTTATGTCATCCGGAGAGATATCTTAAGAAAAGGGTAAATACGAAAGTTTGCACGCGTGTTAATTAATACACTTTCCCTCTTTTTTATTTTCGCAGTCATTAAAGATGATAATGAAGGTGCCAAAACGTATTTGGAAGGCGTTAGATCCATACTTTTCAAAGATTACACAAACCGATTCGATTGCCTCGATCGATTATGAAACAGGAAAAAGCAATTTGGGGGAAATAAAACTTATTACCCCATAAAAGTTTAAGGTATATCTTACGTAAATTTCTCTTCGAATAACCACAAATTTTTATAGTCTTTTTACTTGCAGATTTGCTATTTGGAAATCCCAAAAGATATTCTCATCTCTTCTGTTTATCTATTAGGCCCATATTAGGTATATTAAGTTTTTATTTCTTTAGATCTTTAGATTTAGCACAGGTAGAGATTTATAATGTTCTGTTTGACAATAATTTTTAGCAGAGGTATATGTGCACGGAAAAGTAACATCTATGCATAATAATATATAATAATAACATAAATTTTATGGTATTATTATATATTATTATAAACTTGTTTACGTATGTATATTTATATGTGTGTATTTATGTTTATATATATATCTCGTATATCTTTATATATGTTTATATATATATATATATACTATATACACATATATACACATTGTATATATTTTTATATTTTATATATTCATAGTACAATTACATATATAAAAAAAACGCTCTAATTGGCGCGTAATTGTTACATTAATAAATATTGTTACACCAACAAGAAAAAGTAGAGCAGCAGTTTATAAAACGATTTTTGAATTCTACTACTTTTAATTTATATAAATGCGAGCATTAATAGTATGCGTCATTCTTTTAATTTATCTACGCTTTTGTAAATGAAACGGGCAAATATATCCGAAATAAATTGAGCCGCTTGACATCTATAACGTTGTCTTTTTTTATTGATTTCTACCAATTCAACTTCTGCCATCAGTTTGCTACGGTCTTACCTCCCCGCAAGTTTCGTTCAAGCATTGACAAGTGTAAACAAATGTGGACTCGTATTCTCTAAAGTGCCCAATTTTTATACAAATTATTGAGAACATATACGCTTATTCTCTAAAGAGCCCATACTTTATACGCTTATTCTCTAAAGTGCCCAATTTTTATACAAATGTGTGAACATCTTATTGTTTTGTTGCCTCTGATTAGATTTGTTATATCGTCTTCGACATAGGCAAACCACTTTGAACGATAGATTTTTTTTTTTTGCTTTCTTTTCCTTTTGTTTGGCAGAGGTAGGGCAATTTCCCATTTATTTCTAGACAGTTTGTTAGTAGTTCGTAGGATCGAACAGTTTTAGCAATGGTATAAATATGACGGTCATTCATAGTTTTATAAGCCAAATTAGCTGAAAAATATATCGTCAGGCAATTTCTTTTATGCGGAGAAAAGATGATAACGTAGGAATTGCAAAATATGTTATTGTTGTCATTTAGAAGGGAAAATCGTTGGCAGGGGTGCAATCATAGATCTCGAAGATCAAAAAAGTCATATCTTTTATGTGAAGAAATCTGTGGTTTCAAGTCGTTCGTGCAAAAATTACAGATTAAGGTATGACCCTGTTCTTCAAAACAGAAAATATCTGTGTTGAATAAATTATATATAAATAGCGCCAAGAGCGATGTATGCGGTGCTGAATCATTTCAATTGACTTCCAATGTGATGTACAAGGCCTGACTAGATACTTCTTTTGGATAGTCATGATGCGTAGTAAGCTTCGCTTGAAGTTGTTAAGAACTTTTTTAACAATAGTTTTTAAAAAAATAGTTGAAAAAGATTATAGTCAGTATTCTGCAACTATGAATTAGATGTGACTTTACTCTTATTATGTGAGAGAACACTTTGCAGTGAGAATTGACCAGATTTGTGCAATTATTGCTAAACTATTAACGTAATTGACAACTTGACAATCAATGATATGGTTTAAAAAAGGCCCTTTCATAAAACCAAGGAAGATAATAATAATGAGGCATGATTGTTTTTTTAAGGAGGGAAATTTATTTCGGTTTCATAACTTTTAACGTACTCAACTTCTCGGTGCTTAAAGGATCTCATTGCGTTTTTCCCTAAGATAATAATATATGATAGAGCGATTCGTTAGAAACTATTTGTTATTGTTTAAACTTGAAGAAAGAAATTTCACCAACTGTATCGTTTACCTGCACTGTGAGATTAAAAAAAAAAACAGCAGCTTGATAACCCTGTTTATCATATGACCAAGAGAAAAAGTTGCAAAGAATTCTTAAATTTTTTGTGAAGCAACACCAAATTAACTTGAGACAAAAAGAACTAAGTCGCGAATTGCGAATCCTCATTTATTGGAAAATATTGTAAGATTTTGCCTACAAAAATTTGTTTACAAACTAAAAGACCTCAATAAGTTTTGTCTTTCGAAAATTTGCAGAAATCCTTGAACCCCGGTGATTGTGAGTGATTCGTGATATTTGTCTTTTGAATAACTGTCCGATACAAAAAAATCAAATCAAATCATAAAAAATGGCACTTAGCGACGCTGACGTACAAAAACAGGTAAGAGCATCTGAGAAAAAAAGCATAAAACTTTTATGTAATAACACAGAATATGAAAAATTCAATTTTTACATAACACTTGGGAAAATTAAGTGTGAAGCTATTTGTAGAAAGTAAGACATGCAGTGAGATGGAAGGTCATAATGGCTAACGTTCTAAATGTATTGCATAGTAATTTGCATTTAGTTATTGAGAAATAAAGATTCGACTAGTCATGTGACCATTGGTATTGGTTGAATGTTATTACTATTGACTAGTTAGAGAAAGTCAACTATACAGTGATACGTCGAAACTACAGGTATCTCACTCTTAACAAACAAATCTTATCTTGAATAGCAGAATTTCCAATTTACATAATTAGCTCATGTAGCCAAACGTCAATACTTACAAACTGAAGAATACTTGCACCTTTTATTGGCTAACAATATTTCCTGTAGGCGATTCGCCTCCGTTTTCTATATAAAATCAGAGAAATTAAGGGATATTATTCGGCTCATTAACGAATTCATTAATACATTAAGTGAGTCAAATCGGTGAACA